AGGCCTTTCCAGTCTTCATGTTTGTTTCTTGATTTGCCAACTTTTCTCCTTGATGATCTAATTCCTCAAAGAAAGATTAATGTCCTTGGTTAGCATTCCCTTTGGTTCAAGGAATTGATGCAAGATTTACCACTATATTAAGTTTATTATATATCTTGAAGGTCCAGGTGATTATAATTTGAAAATCAGCATTTCTAGTCAAGGACAGTCCCATAAACTCATGAGTGGAATTTCCTCCAAATATGCTTTTTGATATGGATTTGGGATTTGATATTTTGTCAAATAATTAAGATTAAATTTAATTTAAATTAAATTAAAAAAAAAAAGATTTAATTTCAATTCATCCAAAAACAAGCAAGCAAAAAATTTAATGGCAGTGAAGATCTTACAGAAAATTATACTTTGAAAAAAATGCAAGTGTTCTGATAATAAAAATACCTAATTTTGTCAAGTATATCCCTTCCAGACAAAAAAGCAGCAAATCAGGTCCCGGTTACCTACGTAAATTTAAGTCTTACTTCTTATAACTAGTGATTAGGGGAGAGAGGAAGGGACAATGCAACCAAAACAAGTACCTAATTTCCCTTTCAAATCAATGGAGAAATGTTGGTTTTTCTGAAGACTTTAGAAGTGTCATCCAGACTGGTCCAGATGGCTAATTACTTTTCACTGAGATTGCAAGGGGCAAATAAGATAGATTCATTTATATCAACAAAGCTGTTGGTACTATCATCACATTTTGCGTTGCAGACAAGTAATCAGCTCATCTGGAAAGCAAGGGATATGAGGTCTTGGCTTCCTTTAGTGTGGGCAGCCAGATCCTCAATTTTTCACTGACTACACAACTGCTTAATCACAAGCCCACAAAGTGTTTTGTGCAAAAACACTTGACTACAGTTCCTCATCCAAAGTCTGTTTTCAGCTTTGATCCAACGATAATCTGATGTAAAAGGCACAATTAAACCTTCTACCACTTCACCACTACTTGTCTTAGTCTGAGTCTTGCCTATAACTGAATTTCTGACTCTCTCTAGGAGTGTTAGTGGTTTTTCACTTAAGCAAACAGAGTATCAGTGCCTGTCTACTGATGTGGGGGCCACAGCAGAGCTCTTGATGGCAGATTGGTACTTACCGTCTTAGAATAATTACTTCTGAATATCCTTGGGAAATCAAAGTTGGATGCCTCAGCTGAGTAGGGAGATACCAATTAAATTTAGTAAACCGATGGGATTTCTGAGTTTTAGTCACCAAAATCTTACCTTAGGCAGGATTTCTGAAAACTGATGTGCACCCTTAGAGAGTGTGATAGAAGTGCCTAGAAGACAGACTAGTCCAAAACAGCCCAGTCAAAAGAAATTCAACACTTACACGAGCTGCAGCTCTGTTATTGTCAATACACCAGGTCATAACTATTCCTTTTTAAATTAATATTTCAGTTTGTCAAAAAAGATAAGAGTTGGTAGCTCCTGTTACAGCCCATTTGTACATTTACAATGCAATTAACAAAATACACAGGAAAAAAACTAACTCAGAGAAATAAAACACATCTCTGGCTGTAATTACTTTAGAAGAGATGCAGCTTCAACTGTTTCCTTCCATTAGTATGCCAGGAATTGACTCCTAAGAGGAAATCTCATGGATTCCTGCTAATCATCTAATATAAGTTACACCTACAATGTAAATGTATTTGATGCAAATTATTATTGTATCTAAACTGCAAGTGAAAATACATTAAACAGGCTGCTGATTCACCAACAATCAATGAAAATGCTCTTGAGATTATTGCTGGGAACACATAAAATGTGTTTTGTAATTGCAGTGTTCCTTTTTTCATGGTGGTAAATAAACAAATAAAACAGTTTCAATTATTAAATAAATGTGGTATATTTAATATGTTTAAAGCTTCATATGTCTTAGTTTTGATAAAACAGATGTGACTATTATTCATGGGTCACTTGTAACTTTTGTATTTTGCTCTTGTTTTAGTTCAATAACAAAAGTCATTATTTGAAGACAGTGTGCAGAACATCTTGAAATTCAGGCAAAAGTTGAGATGGAGTATTCACAGGTCTGGAACATGCTACTGCAGTCTGCAAGTGTAGACACTCCAGAAATAAATCAAAACCTATTTTAAATTCATTTTGGATCTTGCAAGGCTAATTATAGAAATATATTATGGGCCTGGTACAAAGAATGAGTTATTTGGGGTAGACTAAATTATTTTTGGAGAGGCTTGAGTTCAAAGACTTTCCTTTACTGTGCTTGCCCAGGGTGAAATATAGGTTCTCCAGTAGTTCAGTAGCTCATTCTGGAGTCAGAACTTTGAATCACTAGACATTTGAACGTGTAGTGTTTGAGGTGAACATTTCAAGTGAAAATACTAAGTGTCATTTAAATTCTTTTTGGAGAGTTTTCTACGGCTCTAACTGTGTATGTCCAAGTCCCTGAATCTCAGTAGATTGTCATATATCCAGGGTTTGATTACACAGTTGCCCGCTTTCACCAGAAAGGATGCAGGTACCTAGAGTAGGATCTCCTACACTCATTTAGCCGCTCTGGTTATCCTAGTTGAAGAAACATGCTGGGGAGCATTTTCAAGCGCTCAGGTCAGCTGGCAGGGAGCAGCTTGTGCCTCTGCTAGGAAGTACTTGCTGCTGAAGGGCACTGGCCACACCACGTTGATCCATGGGACACTGTGAATCTGGAACTATCCCAGGAGCTGTTTGGGAAGAGATTGGCTCATATGGGACAGGTACGTGCCAAGGGCCAGTCCAGCTGCATCAGGCAGCACCTGGGAATATTCCTGGATGCTTTTTCACTTACTAGCTTAGCTGTACATGTTCATGTTCACATGTTCATGTTTTGTCCTAAGGAGAGCTGAAGTATATTTTCCATATGGGCATTTCAGGCTGCAAAGCACTGAGATGTTAAGACAGCAGGGGCACAAGCAAATTGCACATTTTTATAGGACTATCCCTGAATGTGGGCACTGATTTTAGATCTGGATGTAAGTCTTCAGACTATTTCATATTCTTCTGTCTCATACCGTAGACCTGAAAACTAACCTTGGTGACAGGGAGACAGGGCTGTTGGCTGCTGAGCTGAATCACAAGCTTTAATGTAAGTGATAAATTTTAGGCCCCATCCATGGAGGTCATCTTTCATTTATTACTTGATCTAGTTGGTGGACAGGCCCTCTTGGTGTCTTCCCTTAAAAGAAAAATCTTGTCATTCTACCTAATAAGCATCCTGGATAGACTGGTCGACTATAAGCATAGCTAAAGACATTGAATATAGAACATTGTTAGTGCAGTGGAGCATCTTGAATAGTGTCATTTTTGCCTGAAATTCTTGTTTTGTTAATTGTAGAGTACTACATTTCTCTTTCATTTTCTACATTTCTCATATACACATATAGTATAACATTTGAGTCTTGAGATCTTGTGATGGTATCTCAGAAGCAGACATCTAAATTATTTGCAATAAAAATCACCATCACTCCCAACTCATTTTAAGGCATTGTGTATTTCAGGTTTAACTTTTGGAATGAAAAAAGAAAACAAGAAAGAATATTTATTAGCTGATTATAATTCTGTAATTAGAATCTAGCATACTGTTTGTTTCACAATAAATATTTGATCTTTAGTCCTTCAGTGTTATTATGTTTACTGAAGTATCTTGTAGATAGATCATGTTAACCTATGACTGTTTCTGCAGTGTCTAGTTACGCAGTGGAAATCTTTGCTGCCTCTTGTTAAAGAACCAAAGTTTGTGTGAGTTCAAAAGAGACTAGACAAATGCATGAAAGAAAAATCCACAGGCTCTTAAGCACAGAAATACCACAGCTTTGATGAAGAAATCCCCAGAATACAGATTGCTGGAACCTTGGAAAATATAGTGGGAAATCTTTGTATTACAGTCACAATGTTTATACATTTTTCTTTAAGCCTCCAACAGGATATCAAGGTAACTCAAGTATGATCATTCATGTCAAGCGGAGAGCACTTGAGACAAATGTATATGATTAGGTCCTCTTTGAACGAATTTTGGGATCAAATCCTTTGCTGGTATAAGTGGGTGCAACTACACTAAAGCTGTGTTAAGCCAGAAAATAGATTGGCTTTTAGTTCATGAAAGATGCTAAGCTGTCGACAAGGAATTTTTTACCTGTATAGGTCAACAGTGAGCTAAGCAATGGGAAGAAGACTGTAGGTAAGGCATTGACTTCTAGTAAGACAGCTAGAATTCACAAAACAGAAGGTGTCTTTGCACTGTGACCATCTGCAGCCAATCGAGCTATTCACAAGCTGAACAATTTTCATATCATAATGGTTTATGTCCCCTTTTTTGAATGATATAGGTAATTATTAGATAAGGAAGGAAAAGTCTTCATCCCATTACTACTGTCACTACATAGAGGCCAGTGAACAATTTCAGTTGGTGGTGTAGTTGAAATTAGTCATTACTTGACCAACGTTTTTTCACACTCACATGTGACCGAGGCATGGAGTGGTTAGCACAGAGAAGAGAAATTCCGGGTGACAAAAATATGATTTTCTGTTGTTCCATGACAACCATTTTTTAAGAGTAATTGAGTTTTGAATTTTCTCTGAATCAACTAAAAAAACTTACTGAATTGTTGGGTTTGATATTCCACAGCCTTATAACAGATGTTTAGCCCATGTATTGTCAAAAGAAATTATGAAGTTGGACAGAACAACACATTACTGCACACTGCTGTTACAATCTGGAGAGAAATCAATCCAGAAATTAAAAAGTGAATGTGATGTTTAAATGTTCCAATGCAAAAGGACATCTTTAAAATTTTGTGAAAAATAAAACTCTCTGCAAAATCTAAATACTTTTAAAAAAGAGGTCACCAAATTTTTTTTCATATTTCTCATATGAAAAAATACTTTCCAGGCCTTCCATAGCCTGAACTGATTCAGCAATAAGTAGAAAACAAGAGATTTTTGACAATATTTTAGTGGTTTGCTTACCATAGATTGACTAGGAAGGGGTGCTCCAGGCCTTGCATTATCTGTAGCTCCCGAAAAACGTTTCGAACTTCATCTCTCTCAATGCACTTCTGTTTATTCATATATTTCATGGCATACATTTTCTTGGTGTCTCTCTTCTGTACAATGCACACCTAATTGACAGCAAAGTAAAAGACAAAGTTTGACACCTACAGAAAGGAAACTCAGTTATGACTTTCTAAAAAAGGAGCTTTTATGATATTTCAATAAACCAAGTCTGGATGCCACAATCTAGGAACATCTTCAGAAAGTTCGTGTTACACCTATGCAGAATTCTTTGTAATAGGCTGTAGTTAATAAATAAACAAAAGAATACCCCACCCTTGCATAAGAAGAAAGGAATACCAAGAAAACTGGCATAACTTTTAGAAGTTACATGGTAAAGCTGGGAGGAAAACATTCCAATTGCTCGAATCGCAGGCTATTTCATTACGCACAGAAATTACTGCCTCCCGCCTAGGAAAATACACAATCATTGTCCTCATTCCCACAAGTCAATACACACATCTTGATTACTGCGTCATAAACATAGCCTATGTTCACAGGCTCAATATTTCATCTAATTATCAGAATTATGCTCCCTTAATTATTGTTGAAAAGAAAAAGAGTTTTCGTACAGAGATACATCATAATATTTTTGAAGTCACAAGAGACCATTATAATGATTTAGTCTCTGGCAGTAAATTTCTTTCTTTAACTTTGTTTTCTTTTTTTTTTGACAGAAGTCAAATAATTTTGTAAATGCAGGAAAAAAGTCTTAGTCAAGAGAACTCCCAAGGAAGACTTGGATTGCTTTTCACCATGGCAGTTTGCCTTGTGAATGAAGCTGGAGAGTGTTAACAGCGCATCTAAGAACTATAATTTTAAATATGATTTCTAGCAACACAGAAATGTAAGATTGTTCTGTGTCTCATCCCCAAAGCTGGTGTAAACCTCATCTTCATGATAGTCCTACATACACATGTGGAGCAAAACTGTATCTTTGGCAGACTTCTGCTCTGAAGGGTTTTTCCTATTAATTGAACAGAACTTTTTAAAGTAACATTCCTAGTGTATCTTCACAGCCAAGAGAACAATTAGTTGAAAATACTATTTTGGTGTAACTGATTACTGATCCAGCCATAGGCTTCCATCAGAATTTGTCATCATCACGATGTATACAGACCATGTACTGGAAGCATCTGATTTAGTTATCAAAAGTCTGTAGTTCCTAAATTTAGGCGTATTCTGAATTCACTTGGTGTGGGCACTATTATTTTGTATGTATATTTATGTACATACACACGTGCACACGTACATACTCCCGTATTATACACAAGTAAAACTATAGTATACACACATAGTATACATACATAAAATTAGTGCTCCGAGATCAGATTACAACATGGTGCCAACTAAAAATAAATCCTTTTGGTTTGAATTATATTTCAAGGAATTTGTGTGCTCAAAGTTAGGAAATGATCTGGAGAAACTAAGACAACTTCCCACAGCTGAAACCTCTGACTTTAGCAAGGTGTCATCTGGATTCTGGACCTGGTGATGAACCACCAGCACCAGAGTGAGGACCCTGGAGAGACCTATGTGTGGTCACTTATTTCTTAATCACAGAGGAAAGGCTCCAGGAATGTACCATCAGCACATTTTAGTTCCCCTATCCTTTTCCAGTCCCTCTAAGAGGAACTGGGCCAGTGAAACCAAATGACATTTATTTCTCTGCAATTCTATTTCCACAAAGTGTGTCTTTGAGCTCAAATCTACTCCAAAGAGAGGAGTTAATAGAGTACTTTTAACCCTTAATGATAAAGTGTGATTAAGCAGAGTTTCTAATTACCTTTGCTAATACCAGGAGATGTTCTGCTAATTAAGTAAAATACGAACGGTAATGTTTTTTCTTGAGCCTATCAATGTTGCACAACAGTGCATACCAAAGTCTTGTTCCGTTTTCCTCCTTGGGCTGTTATGGAGAGTCTGAATATTGGTGATGTCCTTAAGATAACTAAAGGTTCACACTTAAACAGAAAGAACTCAGGCTATGGAACAATGGGAGCTGGGGTTGGCCTTCTGGGGGAAGAAGAGGTAATGGCTGGTGTTGAACTGAAATGGAGGGATGGAGATGAATTGTTCAAGCTTCTACAGGTTCTTCAAAAGTAGAAACAGAATTTGCAGGGGCAATTTCTGACATCCTGTCTGAGATTATGTGGATGCTCCAATTTAGTGAATTACATTACAAAGTACAACATTTATGAATTTTGGCTCAGAATCTAAGTCCAGAAGGTCATTCACTTACATGAATTTGCAGCATAATTTTCATATGAAACTTAGCCAAGACTGAGGTGTTTGCAAAAGTCTCCCATTAAATAAAAAGCATCTCTATTGAACTGTTGACTCGTGAGACTTCTGAGGGATTGGGGCTTTGCTCAGCTGACAGTTACATCTTTCACCAATGGAGCAAACTAGGATCATACACAGCACCCAAATATATAATGTAAACAGGTTTTAAAACATTGCTGTGACTCCAGAAGGCACTCAGTTCTCTTACCTGCCAGGAAAGACAAGGGTATTCAGCACAGCTGAAACAGACCTTCCGTCACTAGAAGCAGCTTGCCTAGCATACAGCTTTAAAACAGAATGATAGTAAACATTTTCTAGTAATGTGCACCTATGCACATCTGTTAACACAGTTTCAAAATCAATAGGATTTTAATGAATTTACTAAAGCTACTTCCTGCTAAAAATCAGGAAATCCAAGCTGCATTCGTACGGATGTTATTGTGAAAAACACCTGATGTTGCTATGACAGTGTTGAATAATAGTGGAGATCCTCCCTGGCATTTCTACCTGCTGACTGTTAGCTCTTCTTCAGAGCAGGATGTGAATGGGCTGAAACATTTCAACTGCTGCAGGAAAGAAAGGAAAAGCCCTCAAGCTCTCCTCACATGCAGTCTTAATGGGAAATGTTTAAATTGGGGTTTTTTTGTTTATGTTTTAAATCCTTTCCCAAGGAGTCATTTCAAAAGAGGGACAAACAGGTGCTCTGGCACCTCAACAAAAAAATTCTGTGATGACTCATTATTGTGGAAGTCTGTGCAGAATTCCTTATTTACACATATCAATATGGAAGCTTGTCACACTCACGTTACTAAAACATCCTCTTTCAATTTTCATGTGAATATCATTTACCAAAACCCAGACAGTGCCCTGCTCAAACTGATATCACTGCTTCAGCAGTCTCTATGGGTGATGCTTCAAACCATTTGTGTGTCGTGAACTCAACAGCTATCCAGCTTCATAGTCAGTAGATAGGGACAGACACATCCATCTCCTCCGAAGGTATGAGTCTAAATAGGTTCAGGGAACAATCTCTAGAGAGATAGTTTCTCTTCTGAAATCCCTATAAAGAGACTGTAGGTGACTAACTTGCATGTAGGCATCTGTGTTGTACATGTTTAAAGGTAGGCAATATGAATCCCTATTAATTTTCTTGGAGTTACATGGTGCTTATTTTTAAAAGTCTCTTGTGAAAATATTCCTTCTAAAGAGGGTTTTTCTACTTGTCTTCTACAAAGTTGTATCTTTTTTCTATCGAGGAAAAGGTAATAACAAATTGCCTTCAAAACTATCAGGTTAAAAGAAATTTGACTTGGAGTGTGACTTGAAGACACTTTCCCACAGAACCAGGGGATGAAAACCAATAGATTACGACTGCAGGGCTAAATTTCCTTCTTCAGGAGCAACATATGCTATGGTCCACTTCAAAGCTACCTTCTTGGATTTCCTCTGCAGAGGAAATATTTTTTTCACATGCAAAAAATAAAGCACCTATAGATCAAATTTGATCTGCAGATTAATAGGTCACAGAGCCACTGAGACTGCTATGGGTGACAAGTGCCCTGTGGGCTATAGCAGAGCTAGATAAGTGAAGCGAGAGAGCTATGCTGAGTAAAACTGGGGTAGAATTTGTTAATGGTTTGCTGCAGAAAGCTGCATAATGCTGTGTTGGCTACACAGCCATAGGTAGCTTAAAGATGAGAATGGCTGAAAAGTTTGACTTGCTGCAAAACACAGGTTTCTCCTGCTTCCCACTAAATTCAGAAGACTTCTAGCTGCCCTGTGCTTGGTCCAGAGAGAACAGCAGGGAGCAAATGTACTTAGTCTCAGTAAAGCCATTTTGGTTTGAGTTTGGTACATGAGTACTTAGACTTCTCAAACTACCACATGATAAGGTTTCATGACAGGTCATAAAAAAGGAGAGATGCAGCACCGCAGTCAGAGAAAGCTCCTGCGCAAGGTCACTGTTAGGTGGAGAGCTGGCAGCTGGAGTGCACTTCTCATCCCTGTTCCTGTATCATAATCTTACATGTCTCATGTCAGGTCGGTAGATCAGAGGGGCTATGGCACTGACTGAGCAGAAGATACTCACCTAGACGTAGGGGACTAGAAGGCAGAAACAGCTCTATTTTTCACACTCAGTGTGGGAATTGGCAAAACTGCTACAAAGCATGTGCCTGAAGTACTGCTACCTTGTCTGTTTTAACCCACATACTCTGAAAAATTAATGTTCATAGTCTCAGCCTACAAGTAGACTTGGAAAGATTTACACCAAAAGGCTGGAGAATGAATATCATAAGTTTGGCTTTACACTGCTAGGGAATTTCCTTGAAATAGGGGAAATCATTCCCAGATTCCCCTGAGCAAACAATGACAGCTGGAGCAGGGACCAAGCATCTGCTTAGTTTCCTTTCATATTAATTCAAGCTAAAAAAATAGGTGTTTACACTGTCAGACAGTATTAATATTCTGCAGTTGTGCGTTATGTTGGTTTTACTTTGCATATTATTTAGTAAAGTACCCTCGATCAGTGCAGACGTGATTCTGGGCTCCCATCTGTTTTACAACAGTGTAATTTCAATTACTTCAGCAGAGGAAGTCACTGTTTTATAGAACCAAATTAATCAGAACTAAGTCCTATGTCTCAGCAGCTTAGACAAAACAGGAGAAAGTCTGTACATTCATATCATAATTTGAATGTAATTTAAGGAGGTCAGATTGTTCAATGTACCTGCTTCCATGAACAGAGAACTTGCAGAAAATTGGTACTATAATATCCCTGAAAACTAGTTGTTGCACCTGAATACAGATTATTTTGCGGCAGTAAGCCTGCAATTACGTGGTTGCTGTTGCAGTAAAGAGCAATGGTAATTCTTGTATTTCACTCCTAGCCAGTTTTGTATTTTTTGGATAATCTTCAACTATCTGATTTTTTGCGATATTTCGTTTGATAAGAATGGATATAACAAAATGGAAAAATTTAGCCAGATTAAACATGAGAGAGCACTTTTAAGGTATCGCATGGAATAAAGAAATAGCTACTTAGAGCAGTGTTCAGCATTTTTGGTTTGAGTCTTTTAAATCGTCTGCTTCTGAATTGACTTAGAAGGCAAATATTTAATGTTAATAAAACCTGTTTAGACAAAATTTCTGACCTTCACTTCAAATGCATTTGGAAATACTAATTGCTGGACCATGCCAAGCATAACTAGCTTAAAGGTCTTTCAAAAAAAGAAAAATATGAAATGTTTCCTGACACATATGAAGACACCAAAGCATAAGCAAAGAGCTGGCTTCATCCACCTAGCAAAGCAAGGTCACTGAAGCCAGCAAGGCCACTTTTAGAGGAGTTTTACATACCTCGCTTGGGTACCACTGTCACCCTGGCAGCAGCTCACAGGTCTGAACCACTGTCTGTATGTACAGATACATACACCAGGTCTGTATACATGTGCCCAGGAGAGGGAATAAGTGTTCAGTGGGTGGTCACGCACCAGTCTGCCACAGCTTTCACGTCACTTGGCTTGAACAAAAGAAGCACTGGCCTACACAGAAGCTGTGGCTGCCGCGGTCCTATGCAGGCTCAGAGCTCACCTTCTTCTGTCCCTCACCAGGGTGCAATCTGACTCTCAGAGGACACCTTTGAAGCGAGCCTGGCTTTTTTACAGAAACAAGAGCATGCTCCTTGTTTCTCTTCTCTCCACACCTTTTTTCTACCTTCCTCACGACTGCTGTGATGTATCTTCATTTTTTCTGGGGAAGATGCTACAGTGCATACAAGACTGCATCTGCTCTTAACATGTTCCTAACAAAGTGTACTGAGGCAGAGGCTTAAAACAGGTGGCTGCTTATCAGAAAAGACAAGCTCTTGATATACAAAGCATTTGATACCAAATGGCCTGGGAATTCCTATAACAGCAAATGTTGCTACTATGAATTGAAAATGCCGAAGGAAAAGGCAAGGAGCTGCTTTCTGAAGCCAGCTGGGAGGGACAGAGCGTAGCTGCTGAAGCAGCTGGCCCCAGTGAAACAGGTGAAGTTTCGAGGATCACCTTGAGCTCTGTGCACGAGAGCGAGCTGAGCTGCGTGGAGTCTCTGCCATATCAGATACCTCCTGCAGCAATATCCTGCAGAGGCCTAAGGTTGCTGTAGCAACCAGGGTAATTTAAGAAATATCGAGAGAGAGAGAGAGAGTGCGATTGTACCAACAGCAATAAAATAAAAAAGTAGAGCATGTCTTAAAGCATCTTACTGGTCTCAGAAAACAGAAAAGGCCACAAAGCAGCCATAAAGGAAGAAGGTAGTTTAAGGAAGATATGATACCGAACACGGTGTTATATGTTGCAGGATGCTAGAGCACAATAGACCCCAAAGAGTAAAAATGAGTCAATAGAGATTAGAGGTCTTGCATCATTTGTTGATGTTTTCTGCTGCCAGGTACTTTCAGAGGACAGTAATAGGAAAAGTTGCCAGCAACAAGGCTTCTAAATGAACAATAAAGGCAAGACTGACTCACAGAGAAAGACACTTGAAACAGTGACTGATTGACCATGTTGTGCTTTTGGCTATGGTATAATAAGTCATTTTAAAATGGGTTTCTTCCTTTCCCTATCTGTGAAAGAAAAAACAAGGTGATTTGTTAGTAGCTTGCATTCACTTGGGAAAAATAACCTGTTACACCAGGGACTCTTCTGTTGCATTCGACAGCTGTAAAATAAGGATTTAAGTTTAGAGGGGACTTACGCATGAGCCCTTTCTTGCATTAAACATGTTCTCTGAGGGTTGTGAAACTCTATTCTTGCTCATACATATCCCCAAAGCAGGTTCTCAAGAACACTGCAGCCATATAAACCTGTGAGAAAATTAGATGTTTCTAGAAATATCGTATAAACATTCACCAGTTTCCTGAATGCCATGGAGAAGAGTGGATTAAACATCAACCAACAAGCCTTCAAAAAGCACATGGGCTTGTTTTACTTTCTTGCATGATGTGGAAGGGTGCAGGCCCCTTTGAAAGGGCAAAGACAGCAGAGGTGGGAATGGAGAAGCTTTGAAGAAAGAGAGGTGCAAGTGACCTTCTGATGGCAAACATGACTTAGATATTTCTTTAACTGCTTATCCTGTACCTAACTTGCACTTCTGAATCTCTATTTAGTTTGACAAGATATTCCATCACTGTTTTGTGATAATAAACAATTATAGATCTCCAGTTGTCCTGATTTTTAAAGGGTTCTTGAATACCATTTTGCACTAGCAGCATAGTCCCCTAGTGTCCTTAAAGAGTTTCTCTTGGAAACTAATGAATCAAATAAGACCCAGGCCATGAAGGACTGTGCTGTTCTGCAAGAAGTATTTCCGGCCTCTGTAAAATGAAAGTAATTTTTCTGCTTGGAAGGCTGAGAGACAGCAAAATCCTGTGTGTGTCCTTAATGCGTAACTACAGAAGTAGCTCACTGGCACTCAGCTAGCAAATACTCAAGAATCTTCAAAATCAAGATCTAGATAGCTATTGCTTGATCAGTTACTAAAGTTATATTTCACCTTCAAATGTATTCCTGTGAGTGACGATTTTTAATATTTTTGTAATACGATTTTCTCTGACTGCACGGTCTTGTATTTACCCATATTAAAATTTAAAACCTTGTTATAGTCTTTATTATAGGAAAGAAAGGTCATCTGCTCATGTGTAAACAAACCATTAATCTTCTCTGTTTCAGCAAAAGCCTGTTGAATTGAACAAACATTTACTCAATGATCATAATTACAGTGTATGTCAGTTTACACAGCCCCAAGTCTATTGAATCTATGCAAAGTGCCTTTAAAATACTGCAATTATTTTAAAGACACGAATAAGTCCAGAGATTTAAGAACAAGCTCACTCTAGTAGACTACCTAAAAAAATAGGCTGCTCCTACCTTTTTGTTTGCTTTTAATTTGGGGATTGGTTTCTAAATTTTGCTAAGGAGACTTAATTATTATAATCATTTTTACTCCATTAGTTTTAGTGAATGTATTGTAATAGAAATAATTCAATAAATAGTCGAGTCAGTCATATTGATGATGAAATGTCTTTAAGAAGCAAAAGGCTACAAAACCTATGTTCCTTTACTGTAGGCAGGTCACACCAGAAATACACAAAGAAATTGCCTATTAGAAATTTAACCACTAAAAATAAATTGGTCCTTACCTTTCCAAAACTCCCTTTCCCAATAGCCCGCAATATTTGAAAGTGGTCAAAGTTAACTGCAAAATAAAGGAGAGAAGAAAAGGAAAATAGTTTGAAGAGTGCTAAGTCAGAATCAGAAAAGAAAAGGAATGACGGCGTTCCCAACTAATGTCATTTACCATGTGGTATTTACTTTTTTTCTTAAAACACCAAACATTTAATAGCAAGCAAATAGGAGGTTTGCTTTAAAATATGCTCTATTCATTTTATTCACCAACTCATCTTGGCCCAATGCCTCCAGTGCCCAGTATCTCCAGAAAGAAACGTATCTCTGTCCTAACCAAGTAACAAGACAGTTAGTTAGCATTATGCAGCCATTAGCAAAAACTGCTCATCATTTTCCAGAAAGATTACGACCTCTTAAAAGGGTACTGAATAATTCAGATAAGTAACACCATCTGCTTACAGATACATAGTAATATAAGGACAGTATTGTTACAGTAATCACTCTGCAGGAAAATTCCCATATTTCGTTACAGTGATGGAAACTTGTCCCATGATGAGCTAGCAAGATCAGCCCCTCCAAACTTTGCCACCTTAATACAATATATAATGCTAATATTATAAGACTATTTCATAGATGTAGCATAAGTTTGTTTTGGGAGATTTCATTTTAGCTTGGCAGTAGAATGGGTTTACTCCCACTTCAGGAAAATCTGACAGCACGGTCTGCTCTAGACACTGAAGTGGTTTGCTGTGAAGGTGAGTAAGAGGTTTCATTTCTCAGGAACATCATTATTGTTGGTGTTGTGTGAGACTGAACACAGAGTGGCTCTGGTTCATTGATGGGTCTGGTGGTTTAAAAAAAATCCAGCAACATCCTGAACAAAATTGATATGGAGCCACTGAAACACAAACATCACCATGTGTGATACAGTTTTTACAGTCACTTGTCAGAAAAGACTCACACTCAAAGCTAAACTCAGCGAACCAGAGTTGACAAAGTTCAGTACAACTTAACAGATTTTTTTTTTTTTTTAAATTGAAACTTTCTTACATTCCTGGCTTTGGTCATGTACCTCCATCTATGCGCCTGTTATTGTCGTAACAGGAATCAGCAAAATTATGGAGACAGATTGTCATTGGAAAAATGTGGTAACATGAACAAAGACAACAAAAATGTGACTCACATCATGATGAAGAAGAGAATTCTATAAAACTAATAATACTTTAAATATCTGTCAAAAAAAAAAGTATCGGCTCAAACTAAGCACTGAGTAGGAAGTTGCAAGTTTGATATATATATATCCAGTCACTTACAAGGGCTAAAGTCTTATTTTCTCTGTTCCAGTAATATCTCATTTACACTATTAATGCCACTTATAATACATTTAAGCATTTGTTTATTTATGCTTGCTTACATTGTCTTCAAGGAACCCTGGTTGCTCCTTTCATTAGTGCAGCTATAGCAACCACCTTCCTGGTAATTACCAGAGACCAAATCAAATCCAGAGCTGACAGAGCTGAAAACAGCAGACTCTAGTCTTTAGCAAACAAAGATGGTAATTCTGAATACAGCAGGTTTAGGATTCGGATACTAAAATGAAATCACATAACCTTGCAAAGGATTTATAAGCTGCTTGGAAACTGGAAATCGGAAGACAAATTTTGTGCCAAATCATGTAAGAGTTAGGGTTACCCAGATGTTTGAGAAGCTGAATTGTTGGTCAGCAACCTTCAGCTAAGGTCTCTGCCCACAGATTTTCCCAGTGGGGCACTGTCTTGTAGTTCCTGCTGGTCAATACTGGAGTGATGGACAAGACAGTTCAGCAAAACCACCTTCCACACAGACATCAACTTAAATCTTGTTCCTGCAGGTCATCTGTCCCAAGCGTATGCCCCTAAACAGAGGATCTGAGACCTTAATGACTGGTATCTTTAAGTTGATCCTTAAGTTTAAGTAGGAAATCAATACTGCATTGAAAAGGTTCAAAACTATGTGTTAGTCTCATTAATTTCTTTGATAGAGAAAATTCAGCAATTTTCCCCTCCAGCATGCTGATATCGTCTGTGTTGCTCCTCTGCTTTCAAACCTTCTGATATTTCCTCTTTATTTTGCTGATTTTTAACAAACGCTTTTCTTAAAGAAAGCTTAGTTTCAGTTTCTTCTTTACCTTGCAGTCATTCAGTTGAAGTCAGTTCCCAAAAACAACTGGAAAACTGTTGAAACAGTTTGTAATTATCTAAATTTAAGTCTAGCCACATTTCAGTAGGACTTGACTACATATTTTCCTGAAGCCTGACTGGTTTTGAAATGCAATAGTTTGACTAATTATTTTGTTTTTGTAAAACTAAGATTACACATTTATTTTTAGCTACGAGAAGGACAGTTTTTCTTGTCCATATATTCTATTTCTCTGTACTTCCTTCTTCAGCAGAGCTTATTGCTCTGAATGACTAGAACAACTTTTTTAAATTGGATTTAATTGTAAATTGGACTTGTGTAAGAAAGAAATGATTAAATGAGCCATAAGATCATGGAATTTAAGATGGATTAGTACTAAGTCAAATAAGTGGTTAAAAAACTTAACCACAACCATTGATCAAATTTTCTCAATTTTTGTGTTTAACATCGGTAGAAAGTGGGATGTTACACTTTCAAATCTTCATTAAGAAAAAAGAGTATTTTCTTTCTATAGTTCACTGTCTCATAGCTTTATCTTAAATTGAAGTACCACAATTGCAACATGTTTTATGCAAGAGAAAATATAGATAATTTTAAGTGACTATGAAAGTATGTAAACACACCTGAGCCTACATTTGAAATGAGCTAGTCTTGCAGCCACTGTGATTTTCTGGAAAGGGTTAATCTACTAAGCAACTTAGTCTCTTTTGATTATTCAAACATACAATGCTGCAAATTCAAAAACAGGGCAAGTTGTTCCCTGGGGATGTTAGGAAAGGATGATAAAAGGGATACCTTTGCAGTCGAGACCAATACCAAATTCAGCTGAATAAAACGAAGATGTTTTAAGCAACAGTCCCATCAACAACAGATCAGCCATGGAGAAGTCACATTAATGTCACAGCCCTGACAAACGAGCTAAGTTCACTGCCACCTTATTACTACATTAGTCAGTCTCCTCAGGTGTTTTCCTCAGGTGTTTTTAATCTCACAGTCTCATAATTTTCAGCTTATTTTGTTCATCACACTTTTTTTTTTTAGGTTTTGTATGTGCTTTTTCTCCCTTTTGGTGAACATTCAACATCACAGGGTCACCTTTTATTCTGAGAAGAATTACAGCACCCCTTGACCTCTGGCATTTCCAATGTTTCAAATATCATCAAGGTCAGACACTATCATTTTGTCTGTGCAATGAGGATATCACAAGTATTGTATTCTTGTCCTCTAAAACATGACGTGTCTAACACATGGAGCCTGGTCTTGTAGCTAATGACATTTTTCTAGTGCAAAGCCCCGCTGAGATAATGGTGTGGCTGGCAGAAGGACACTTTCTTCGGTAACAGTAATATGACCCTCTTGAAAATAGCTTTCTTGGTGTCCTTTACTTAAGATGAAAAAGCTTTTTGAGCACTTATTTCATTTTACTACCACACCATACTTGGACATTTTCGATACCAGCTCTGAATTTGAGTCTTATGGCACGGACATGTTTTCAGAAATCAAAATTAGTTTATACTGTCTTCAGCTATTTTTTCATACAGGCAAATCCACAGAATGAAACTGTGAGCATTAACAGTATGAGGGAGTTTCCTTTCAGTTTCATTGATTTTCATCAAGTTGGAAAAATCAAGAAGTATTATAATCTCCCCTTTCCATTTCCTACTTTCATCCCTGAAAAAGTCACCATTAATTCAAAACTGAGAAGGATTACGGAATACAACAGATATTTGGCTAACTAAGGGAGAAAACAGATAAGCATTTATGGCATCTGTTGCATGACATGGTATTAGAATGAAGGATTCCTGTTAATTTCATCAGTGAGCTGTATATGCATGCAAATTAAAGTATTTTGTTTCTTTCTGTTTAATCATGCTCACATAAACCTTAAATGAATTCCACTGCACAGCTTCAAGTCTCTATTAATAACTTTATGTGCAAGTATATCTTACTTTGACTATTTGTCGTGGGTTAGGCCGATCCAGCAACTAAACCCCACGCAGCTCTCCCACTCCAGTAAAATGGAGAGGAGAAAAATGTAATAAAAGAGCTGAGGGTCGAGACAGGAACAGAGGAACACCCACCAACCACGGTCCCGGGCAAAAGAGGCTGTTTTCTTAAAGCAAAACTATTTATTAACAGCTACCTACAAAGAGAAAAGCACACAAAAACGGTTACTTAAGAGGATAACAAGAAAACAAGGCCAGGTCTTAAAAACAACACCACTCCCCCCTCCTTTGCCTCTTCTTCCCAGCTCTACCTCCTCCCCCCAGCGGCGCAGGGGGGCAGGGAATGGGGGAGTGCAGGTCAGTTCATTCCAAGTTGTTACTGCCGCTTCTCTTAAAGGAGAAGGAGTCCTTACAGCATTGTCCCTTGCTCCAGTGGATCCCCTACTCACGGCAAAAGTGTGAATCCTACCCGCTAAGAGGCAAATCCTTACCCCATCGGATTTGCCCCAAGTGCGGGCTTTACCAGTCCTGGGCTTTTAAGGAGCTGTAGCCACTCGCTCTGGCGTGGGCCATCATACAGACTTTAAATGCGCTCCGGCGTGGGTCGTCATATCGACCTGAAATATGTCTCCGTACAGACTTAGATGCGTAAATGCGCCTCGACCCGTGCCCATGATTCACAATAGGCTCAGGCTCAGGCATCTCCTTTAACAAAGCACCTCCCCATCGGCGGGGGGCGCACCCCC